CAAATCCCAGTCTCTTAATGCAGCAGTTGTAGATACATTGCTCAAATAAGACCCAATCAGGTTTGTCCTCACTGAGTGCTCTCTGGGGAGCCTGTTGTCCAGTTGCTGTCTAGGGATTCAGGCTCCTTCCCAGCTTGGAAGGCTGCCATCTTCCACTTGGGGCCTCCAAGGTCATTGCTAAAGGGGACGAGAGTGTGGGAAAAGCCCCCTGAACATTCTTGGTTGAGAAGTGACCACTCATTTCAGTTCATATTCCACTGGCTGGTACAGTCGTAGGAGTCCTCGTAAATGCAAAGGAGAGGAGAACTTGCCTGTGAATCTCTTAATGGCTCTGGATGATGGGAAGGGAGCCCAGATCTCTAGTGGTCAGCTAGCTCCCTCTGCCAAAGCCCTTCTTGATGGCTTTTGTATTACTTGCAACTGAAGGCATCGTTGATCTAATAGCAGAATACACTATTTGTTATATAGACTCAGGCCATATTTATGGTGCCCAGACTTTATTCAGAACCCCTGATGTGGAATCAGATGCACTTCCTAGTAAATGGCGTCACTGTCCCTACTGTTTTATCAGGTGTACAAGAACAAGTCATCCATACGTGCTGGCAATGTTTTGAGAGGCACCTGGCCTCTGGTATGAGCTCAATGACAATAGGATGTTGAGTGAATTCCACACAGAAAGGGAATCTCCACATGGAGAGCCAGGAAGGGTTTCTTGGGCAGAACCCATTAAAAAAGAAGGGCAGTGCCTTGCACATATGGTACGATTTTGCTTTTTCAAACAAACAGTATTTGTTCCATCTAATTTCTCATCTTTAAATACTATTATTCATTCTATAAATATTTACTGAATATGATAAGATGGCAGGAATTTTAGGAATTTAGGGTAAGAATTTTAGGTACCTAATGAGTAAGATGTAACCCCTTGCTCCCAAAGCACAGCAAGTATAAAGACATACCCAGTAAGAGTCTCTCTCTCTTTGCTAAAACCACGGGAGGACAGACTGAGGAGTGGGAGATGGGATGGCATCATAAAGACGGGAACCTGATAAGCAAGGCCTTGAAGGATGTTCAGGAACTTTTCAGTGATGTCAAGAAGAGAAGAAATTTGGGGCGAGAGGAGATGGAATTAGCAAAGGCACAGAGGTTGCCGATTCATGTTAAACTCAGGAACGGGGAGCTACCCATATGGGGTATGTGTGGGTGAAGGGCAGCAAAGACGGGAGCTCAGATTGGAAAGGCAGATGACAGATGATTGGGGCCAAATGACGTAAGACCTTGAATGCCGTATTGATTAGGAACGCTGCCAGTTACAGGTCAGGAAACAGGATGAGAGCACGCAGTGAGCTTGCACAACACAGCCCTCGAGAAAGACAAGCTCAGAGCTGGCGCAGTGGCTCAGTGGGCGCCATCAATGTTTCCACACCATTTTGCGTTGTCATGCTCAGTGAATCAACCAGGTCTCTGTGTTAGTCAGCTTTTCACGACTCCAGCAAATACCTGATGTAACCAACTTGTAAGGAGAAAGGTTTATTTTGACTCACACTTTTGGTGATTTCAGTCGCGATCGGAAGCTCCGTGGATTTGGATCTGCGACAGCGCATCACAGAGGCAGATCATGGAGGAGGAAAGTCAGGAATTGAAAAGAGAAAATAAAGAGGCAAACGTGCCCCCAGCCGGGAGTGGTGGTGCACGTCTGTAAAGCAGTGGCTTGAGAGGCTGAGGCAGGAGGACCACAAGTTCAAGGACAGCCCGTACAACTTAGCAAGACCCTAAGCAACTTTGGTTTGCCTCAAAATAAAACATATAAAGGGCTGGGATGTGACTCAGTGGTGAATCCCTGGTGCTTCAAAAAATAACCAACCAAACAAACAAAAAAAAACCCTACACCCCTAATGACCTAAAAACCTCCCACCAGGCCCTACCTCATAATAGCACCAAGCTGAGGGACAAGCCTTGTGGGGACATGGGCCTTTTGGTGATATTCTAGAGCAAACTTAACCAGTCTCTTAGGACAGCCAGCCTTCCTGGAGATCCTATGAATTTCCAGCAAAGTGAAACTTTTAGTGCTAAAAGTAGCCAAGTCTCGGGCAGGCTGGCACGAGTTAGCGGATTTCACGTGTCCACGTGCAGTCACAAGATGTTTGCCACCATCATAAGCCTCACATGGAAAAAGTTCTTCTTTTCATCTGCTTTCCTCTTATCAAGAAGGGGAAAAAAATCAGTCCTTGAATCAGCAACAGGTTTTCCGTCATATCTCCTTGGCCAGAATCGGATCACATGGTCCCCCTTAGTCCACAGAGAATGAGTGCACTGCGGTCAACTTAGAGCTACCCTAGTTCATGCCTCTGGTTGGGAACCTGGGGTTCTGCTGGTCTGGAGAGGAGAGGAGAAGCTCATGGGTGGGTAGCTAACTCGTAGCACACGCCACAAATGCTGTGCTGGAGATCTGGACTTCATCCTGAAGGCAATGGATATCACCAGCTCCTCTAAGGAGAAGATAATGGACTCTTATGTTTTAGATTCAGAAGCAATATGATAACCGGATCAGAAGGAACCTGGGAATGAGACTGAAGGAAAAGAATCAGAGCTGGTTGCTGCGATGATCCAGCACGAGATGGCAAGAGCCAGGACTGTGCGTGTAGATGCAGGAATGAGAGGCTGGATGTGGAAGAAGTGGGAGGACACTCATGGTCTGAATGGAGGCTGTGCACCATGCAGAGGTGAAGCTGTGATGATGACTCCATTGTGAATGAGAAACTAACGGCACTGACATCACCCAAGGTCTGACCAAGCTTCTCTCAGCAGCCAAACATTATCTGCCTAGCAAAGCTACCATCCAGTGCTTCTGGAGAGAGACTGCTGCTACTCTTGGCTCCTTGTCCTCTCAGCACTAGTTGGCTTGCTCTCCTGCGGCCCCCACATCTACCTGGCGCCAGGTGGGTGTCGGATTGGGCAGAAAGCCCTCATTCTTTGTAGTTAGACAGCTCTGGGGGATGGTGTCTGCAGCAGGAGGTGTTGATTAGTCAAATCTACTTTCAGCAGAGATGAGCAATCATGAAGTTGGAAATACTGGTTCAAAGGCTTGCCTCCCACCACAGAAGTCTGGTTTGCAGACAAAATAAGTCAATCCATGGGACCTCTGATACTGGAAAATGAACCTAGTGGGAATTAGAGTTTGGGGTGACAAATGCCCCTAAGTGAGCCACAAGAAAAGGTGTATAAGAAGCATTTGGTGAATGGTGGTTTGGTGGCACTGTTGAGTGAGAAGAGGAATCAGAAAAGGAATGAGCAATTTTTATGTCTGTTTTGCAATGTCCTGTCACTGTTCTTGATAGCTCTTCTCTCATATGACAAGTATACACTTATAAATGTGACTATAAGAACTTATCTCTCCCATGAGAGTGGAGTGAAGCCCAGTTTACTCACTACCCTATCCCTTAAGCTATCATAGCTGGTGGCACATAGTATGTGCTCAATAAATATTTGCTGAGTTAATTTTTTATTGAGTGACTACTGTGTGCCAGCTGCTTTGCCTACATCAATTCTTTGAATCCCTCCAAAATTCCCTTAACACAGCTTAATAAAAAACAACTCTATTTTGTAACGAAACTGAGATTCAGAGACAGTGAGTTAACTGTGGCCATGCAAAGAGTATAGAACTCAGACTCAAACCCAAGTCCGTTCCCATATTCCATGGTCTTTTTTTCCCCCAAGTGCTATTGGAACTTTCATTGCATGTAAAGATGTTTCTCAATACAAAGAATCTCAGTGTTCGTTTGGTTTTATCCCCTGCATGGTAGATGAGGGACTGTAGGCCCAGAGAGACTAAGCCACTTAGTGCGTGGCCAAGTGAAATTAGTGCTCCAGTTAAATCGGACCCAGTGTTTTTTTCAATTGGACCTTGAAGTTCCTTTAAGATAAAGCAGCTGATAATTCAGTGAGAGCCAGTTACCCTTAGGGTGGATTTGATCTGTCTCTCCAGTGCTGCTAGATGTCTGCAGAGCAGAAAGCCATGGAAAAATCTCATCTAATACAAGTTTCAAGATCTCCACGGTTGTTTTGTGGTTCTCAGCTTTAACTGGCACGGCCTGCCTTTCGACTGAAGGAAAGGCAAGCCTCAAGCTTTTGGAAAGCCACTGAAAGTTTGCTGTTGAACACTTCCTCCAGGTTTGGATATGATCTAGACTCTGCTAAACCACTTACGCTGATAGAGGCCTAATGCTTCCTCCAGACTCCCCACAGCGCCTCCCCGGCTCAGCACGCACAAACCCACAGGAGAAGGCTGTGCCGGTGGCTTGGAAAGCCTCCCACACGGGAATCTGGCCCCGGCGCTACACCAAGCCAGGACCCCTCCCCGCATTCGCCCACCTGCATTCTGTCACGCTACTTTTCTCCCCAACGTACCATCCAGGTCTCTTTGTCAAAATTTTGTTCCCTGGGCCCCTGAATTTCAGGCCGAAAGGTAAACAGCCTGCACCAGGCTAAACTTACAGTTCAGCTGGCAGCCGGGAGGAGACCCAGGCTCCGGAGTTGAGCCCTTCACTGGGCCAGGCTCTGTCCAGACACAGGGCAGACCTGATGGATGTGAGGAGCACTCAGCTCTTGTCCTCAAGAAGGGGAGGTCACATCACAGGACACACGGAAATCCCGTGATTCCTTTGCCACTCACTGGACTTAGTCCTCCTCCACCGCCCAGCCAGGGGAAAAATAACGACCTCCATCCACACTCAGCCACCCCAGGGCACCGGAAGCCATCTCTTTCAGGAGCTTCCCTGAGGAGCAAAACATTTTCTTTCCCAGAAACTTCAACAAGTTTCCCTTCAGCTCTCACTGACCTGACGGGAGACCCGGGTCCATTTCTGAGCCAATCCCAGAGGGTGGAAGAAGGAAAAGATGATCAATTCAGATGAGAGAGAGAGAGAGAGAGAGAGAGAGAGAGAGAGAGAGAGAGAGAGAGAGAGAGAGAGAGAGAGAGAGGGAGGGAGGGAGGAAGAGAAGAGAAGAGAAGAGAAGAGAAAAAAGGGTATATTTTCCTTGCAACCTAAAAATTCAGAAGTTCCCGGTAAAGGCCACGTTCATGCCAAGGTATTGTGGCTTGATTTAATTGACTGTCCCCCAACCCTGGGGTTTTCATTGTCATCCTCATTATTAGGAAGGGGGCTTATTTACACCCATCACAAAGGAGAGAATGAGTGAATCTAACGGTTCAGTGGTAGATTTATTGCTTTGAAATGTCAAAAGTTCTCATTCCCATCCAGCCCTGACGCCACTGGATCATCAAACACCTGTAAGCAGAGGTGATGTGACAGACTCTCGCTTACATGTGGATGATCCCTGTGGGGGGAACCTGACAGCAAGCCCAGGTGATTGAGTTGCCCGCATGGGACAGCAGGTCGAGTCCGAGGTGCACATTGTTCTGAATAGGCTGATTCTCACTTGCCAGAGGTGGCCCAAAGGAGCCATCCTGGTGGACAGTCACCCCTGCTTAGGCCCAGCAGCAGCCAGCCTCTGACTCACACATAGGGATTCTCACAGTGCAGTGCAGGTGACAGGCACAGGTCACAGTTCTGTACCAAAAAGAAAGGGAACACTTTGCTTCTCCACTTTGCACAGGGTCAGGCTGGGGTTTTGAGGTAGCCAAGGTGGTGATCATTTTTGCCAAGGAGAGAGGTTGGCACCCAGGTCAGTGGGCTCCAAAAAGCAGATGGCCCTCCTCAGGGTGGACTGGCATCATGCAAACCATCGAGGGCTCAGAGAGAACAAGAAGGCAGAGGAAGGGCAAACTGGCTGTCTGTGCTTGAACTAGGTATCCATTCTCTCTTGCCCTTGGACATCAGGACTGCTGGTTCTCTGGCCTCTGGACTTAGACTGGGAGCCTCTGGGTTCTCACTCTTCAGCCTCAGACTTGGAGATACATCATCTGCTCCCTGGACTGTCCAGCTTTAGAAGAATATCCTGGAACTTCTTGGCCTCCATGATCTTGTGAGATGGTTCCCATAGCAAACCCCCTTTTATGCATCTCTATTATCTAATGAATTCTGTTTCTCAGATGAACCCTGGTTAGTACATTGTTGGGGGGAGGCAAATTTTAAATGAGCAATTATTTCTAAATGTTCAATTTTCTGGAGATGAACATGAGGTCCACAATAACTCCTAGATGGGCTATTTTAACGTCTTTATCTCTGATGTGAAGAAAAGGGCTTGGTCTCAGAACCTGTGGCTTTGAGGGGTATCGCCAGAGTCTTCTCTACTATGAAATGAAAACAAGACTAATTTTCCCCTGAAGAACTTAATGAGATAAAATATCAGAAACTCCTGTGGTTTACCATTTTTACTCATCCCAGAGGTTTACCTTTCTCCTATGAAGTCTCAGTTTTCCCACATGTGAAATGGAAACAATATGATCTCTCCTACTTGTAGAATAAAACAGATAAAGAGTATAATTACTTTCTGTAGATTGTCACTCCTGGCCACTGACTTGGTCACCAGGGTGATGCTCCAAGAGGACCAACCTGAGGCAGGCCAGTAGGCAGTGATGGAGAGTGTCCTTGAGGACCAGTCTTACCATTAACAGGAAGCTAGATACTCTGCTTCATCCTAAAGCTGATTCATACTGCAAAGATCCTCTGCTCAGAGCAGACTCTTGAGGGCCGTTATGTTTGGTGTTTATTCAATTGTAGCTGAGGGGACTCTACTAATGGCTCCCAGGGGCTCTTCTGCGTCAGGGATTTTTTTTTCTTTCTTTTTCTTTTGACCTCTAAAGTCAGCTGAGGCTTGTTAATAGTGTTGCTTTTCTTTTTTTAAGGAACAAAAAAAATAAAGGAACATAATTTTTAAAAATTCAAGTCAAAGTTTCTCCCCTTAAGACTTCCTGTTCATAACTGAAGCCCTCTTCCTAAAATTAGCGAAACGTTCTTTTGCCACAAAACAACAGTTCCTCAAAAAAAAAAAAAAGAACTATTTCCTTTTTGGACAGGGATTTATGTAAGGGAATAGGATAGGAAAGCAGAGCGTCTCCCTCCAACTTCAGCAAAAACTTCCCATTAGTTTAAATTCTGTCTGTTTTTGGGATTATACCTCAGTCAATTCAGGCCTGGGATGTGGAGGTAAAATCTTAGATCAGTTGCAACCAGGTGCTTTAACTCGGTGATTTTCAAACTTGAGTGTTCACCAGAATCTTCTGGAAGCATGATTAAAATAAATATTGTTGGGCCCTAGCCCCAGAGTTTGGTGCCTGAGAGTGTGCAGTTCTAACAAGTTTCTGAGTGACGTCAGTAAGGTGGTTCAGGGTCCTGGGTGCTCTCCAGGGGAGCTGTCCTCAGCCCAGGTGGGCCCAGGAGGTGCCTAAGGGTGGGTCTCTAGAAGCAGAGACTGAGATGCGGAATCTCATGAGGGTGAATCCTCTCTGGAGAAAGGGAACAGGGGAACAGGATAAGGCAGAGAAAGCAATGTAAGAAGGGATAGGCCTCTGCTGGAGTTTAGCTTCAGCCCGGTCCCGTGGGGACAGGAAGAGCACGACTTACATCACAGATTTGCTCATTTTCAGCTGGATGTCCTTCAGGGTGAGGAGAGCATGCCATCCCCTTGGGCGAAGTGGTCAGAGCAACCCTCTGGAGAAGAGAGGAGCCGTGAGAGTCATTAGCAGCCAGTACCTGCAAGAGAATGGGTCAGGGCATCGGCTACAGCCACTATGGCATGGGGACAGCATGTGGAGAATCACACACACACACACACACACACACACACACACAGAGACATACACACGATACCAATCAATATTTCCACATGGATGTGGCTCACTTTGAGAGACCTCATCTGGTCTCAAAGTCCCAGCCATTCTGTGCTCCTTACTGATTGCTTGATTGATGGATGGATGGATGGATTGAATCCCATCTGACTTTTGATTCTCTCTCTTACCAATGCTCACATAAAAATTCCTTTCCTTGAGTTCCTTCTGATTAAAGAAACTTAAAGAGAGCATAGAATGTTCCTCCCTTGGAAGCTTTTAAAAGATTTAATAGAAAGGTAGATAAAATGCACAAAGCTATTTTCTTTATGCACATAGAATATAAAAATATGTTTTTGAAAAATCAAATTTTAAAAGACGATTTCTTGACATAGGAACATAGTACATCCAACATATAAAAATGATACAGGACTGAGTGTGCATACAGTATTGTATGTACCAATAAACATGTATTGGTAAATGAATGAGGCTACAAGGAAATAATTGAAAATGCTAACAATGGTTATCTCTTAATGAGAGGCAGTTTTCATACCATTATTTTAATGTGATTTTATCTCCATAGTTTAACAATAAATTTGTTTATTTTTCAGAAAATAATAAATTTCAGAGATCTGAAATTTACTTTTTCAAAAATGTGGCTGAAATAAAGAGCTAAATGGATAAAATAAATAAATAAAATTAAAATAAAGAAGTAAAGAGAAATAAAGGATAATGCTTTGGCGTGAATTCCTCAAGGCAAGAAACTGGGAGAAGAAAGTTGATTCTGAGCTGCGGGTGTGTGAGTCAGTGGTAAAATTTGGTTATGGTTTCTCTCTTTAGCTCATTATTAAAACTGATCAGAGTAAAGTCATCACCTTCTCTGGCAAGAGACTATACAATTAGTAATATCACCTCTGACCTTCCTTTTTGCCTCTGGCTATGAAATAGTCTCACAAAGACAACGGAGGCCCAGGCAGTGGCCTTAGATGTCAAGGGCAACTGAACTCTTGATTCATCTTTTACACTTTCTGTCCCTTATTTCTGCACCCCCGCGTGTCCCTCTTCCCTCATCTCCCTCTCCATTCCTTCGTCCCCTTCTATGCCTTCACCTCTTTCTGATCATCTCTTGCCTGCTTTTCTTTCCCTCTCGAAATGAAGGCTTGGTGACTGCCTCCCAAGGAGCCAGAAAAGCACTACGTTCATCCTCTCCCTAATTCAGCCTCTGGATGCATGGAGAGCAATCAAGGTAGATGTGTGACAACGTCATATTTTATTTAATATTTCATACCTTTATCCTCTGTCTCCTTCTAGACACGGTTTTAGTCCTGGAAACATTAAATACCCCAGGGGGAGGTTAAAATCACTGTGCATCAGGATAACAATATCTTTGCTGAATACATTTGCTTTGTCTGTAGTTAGTCAATAAAATAAGTCCTTTTAAATTTAGTCAGTTTCATTTATGATCCCTGAGGGTATAATGCCATTCATAAACAGCGAGAAGGTGTAAAATCAGGAGAAGAAATAAAGGAAGAAAAGATAAACAAAAAGTTGGAGTGAGTAAATGAGTGAGTAATCTTGGCATTGGGAAAGTGTGTAACAAAAGACCTTTCTTGTGCCGTGGCTGGCTGCAAACTCAGCTTCAATATTTCAGTGTCCGAAACAAACAGTGAAATAAAGATAATTGCACCACTGAGCAAGTATATGAGATAAAAACTGACCAATTTCTCAGAACTATTCCTAGATTTGGGACCAGACGAGAATCAAACTCTGAGTGTCATGAGCAGAGCCATCCACCGCAGCCTGACAGGATGTGATCACACATGTCACCAGCCTGTGGCCACCTTCAGGAGAGGCTGATACCTGCACAGCAAATCTCAGATCCACACACACCATGCGTGGGTGCCTCCCCTGGGTATAACCCAGGTCACCTGCATCCTGCTCATCTGGATATATACATGACAGACTTCAGGACCGGAGGAGCAAACAGTACTTAAATATATCATCCAGGTAAGTTATATGGCCTTAAGCACTGACTTATGTATTTAGTTTTCTTCATTCAATAAAACACATTGGGCACCACTGTGTCTCAGAAACTATGCTAAGTTACCATGGCACCTCTGTCCCCTCTTGGTGTTTGAGAGTCTGAGAATCCAGCAAAGATTTCAACAAGAGAGAGCAAAGCCCTCTGAGGCCTTTATGTACGTGTCAATCCAACTGTCCATCCAAGTGATTATTCTCCTGGCCAGTGTTTATCTGTGTGCCACATACCAAGCAAAATGGCAAGATTATAAAAGTGAGTGAGACAAGGTTCTTGCCTTCAAAGAGTCCCCACCAAGTGATGAAGAGGGACCACATTTGGCTCCTGCTACATTGAGGCCAGGCACCAAGAACTATGGGGTGCTCAAGAGAGGAAAATTAGCTATTTTGGTTTTTTTTTCCAGTAATTTCCATAGAAGGAACCTCCTTGGACTGATGGCTTTCTAGAAGGAGACTGTGCCTGGCAATGAAGGGAGCGAGAAAGTGAACAAGAGTTTAAAGATGAACTAGGACGTCTTAGATGTAGAAACTGATAGTGTGAGCCTTGGGGGTGATAAATCTGGGCTGAAGGATTCCTCTGCCATTCGGGAGACAAGGGACCTCCAGGTGTCATAATGCAAGTGTGTGAGAAAGACGCTTGCCCATTGTCAAACACAGCGGCTGGTCCAAAGTACCAACTGGGTTCACTCTACTCGTGCTTCCATTTTCATTCTGCCATGTCTGTTTTGCATGGAAATGTGTTATATAAATGCCAAATGGGTCTTGGGCACAGATTCTGTGCAGGGTCGACGAGGACAGAAATAGACGTGATCATAGAAGGACCAGACCAGGGTCCAGTGCTGAAAGATCAGTAAGTGGGGATAATGATGAGTATGTCACTCAAACTGAGCTCCTGAGTCCAAATTCCAGCTCCTCCACTACGTTTGTATGCACTCTTGGATGGATTGCTCTCATCCATCCTATAATAATACTTACCTAGGTGGTGATTGTAATGGATTTGAACCATGTGCACATGTGCGTGCCATGATGGAAGTCAAGTTTTTAAAGTAACGGCCCATCAGAGACCAATGCCACCTGGGGGCGAACTTCTTGATCTCGGTGGATTTCATTCCTAGTGGGTCTTATACAGGTTCTGGCTCTCAAGTTTGAGAAATGAAGGTATGTAAGGCATGTCAACCTGGCCCCTTCACCCCCACCATCCCATGGGAAAGAGATGTGTTAGGCCAGACACACAGGTCACCGGGTACAGACGCCCCCAGCCTTTGAAGCCCTGAGCCGATGAGGATTGAAAGGCTTGGCATCCTGCTGGGCAACGGTTCAGCTCAAAGTTCACACTGCTGTACATTTGAGAACTTCCTGACCAGCTGCCCTGGGTCACAGGGAACTGAACCTCTGCTTGTCTCCAGCCTTGACATGGGACTGTGAGCAAATTCTTGAATTTACAAGACAGCATCAATGAGCTGATTATGTCAAAACATTTGAAGACAAAGCAAAATGGAACTTCAAAAGACTTGGGAAGGCCGGGATCCCCTTTCAGAAGTCAGCAAGTTCAATTGTTGATAAAATTCCTAGATCGGGCTCACATTTTGGCTTTGAAATCTCAGCTCAGAGGGCAAATGAGCTCCTTTAATGTATTTAAAATTGGGGTAAGGCTTTCACCTCCTAACTCTTGCTGAAAATGATATTCTCTTTTTCATGGAGGGTTTCCTTTGGAGTGTGGTGTCTACATTTACAATGAAGCGCTCATGTTGCTTTCACAAATATGTGCATGTGTGTACGTATACATGTGTCTTTATCATCTAAAATGGAAGGAAGGGGTAGAGAATTGGGAGCCTTAATGCATCCTTTTTTATTCTATAGAAGATGACAGGTTCCTTGGATTTTGCTAAGGACATACTTCTAGAATTGCTTGGCAATTCTAGAATAATTCTAGAATCATCTGAGAGGAGTTTTCAAAGAAGGAAAAGATCTTGTGAACTGAGTTTTGGTAGGAGCACTTAAGGAAATATGACTCAATCTAAAATATACTCTTTCTTCCTGACAGTTCTTTCAAAAAAAATTTTTAAGTCAAATTTTGTATTTATACATAGAAATATGCAATTCACTGTTCAGAGGTTGGGATCCAGGCAGGACTCTGAAGTCAAACAAGCGACCTATTAGCCTTTAAAATAAAATCATTACCAACTCATGAATTGAAGCATATTTAATGAGTTTAAATGCATTGTATTTCTTATCTTCATTGAACTCAAGGTGCTTCATCTTTGGTCGGGGTAAAACTCTTCAGAACTTCTGACATACCCCCATAGTCTTTGATGGTGTATTTCTATTTGGTAGAATAAAAGTTTTAGGTTAATCTTGCATTTCCTGCTCCATTGCTCCAGGAAGCCCTGGTTTCTTATTGTGGGAAATGATAGTTGATGATTGCAACCTGGGAACTATAGAGACTTATTAAGACTAGATTAGTCATCGCATCTAGACATTTTTTATAAAGTAGAATTAAGAAGTGTGTAGTAGCATTTCTAATGCTGGTTCAGAGATATAGGATTTTTACTTATTCCTTTCACATCATATATGTATCTCCTTTGTCTTTACCCAACACCTTGGTTTCCAAGGACACAGTGAATGAGATAATTCAAATATTTCATTATTGCTCATTTGTTTATCCCACACCACACACACACACAATACTCGTACTGCCACTACCAACTGGGCTTGCTAAAAATCGGAGTCTCATTTTCACTTAAACTGTAGAAAACAATAAGAGAATATCATCCCCACCCCTACAACCATGAAGCCATATAATAAAAAAAAAATCCTATTTATAGTCCATCAGAAATCAGCACAACCAGGTAAACTTTCAAAGATTGACATGTCCCTCTGAGAAGAGATGGGACACATGGCAGGCTCTATCTTTGGCAGAATGTGGGAGGAAGAGATAAAGTTGGCAAGAGTAACCCAAATCATGACTTCTTCAACATCAGTAAGTTAGCATGGTTAGCATGGTAGTGTAGAATTTCTGGAAGCCCAAGAAACAGGGGAGTCACCACCTCTTTTCCACGATTCTCTTATGAGGAAGAGTAGGGGGCAGGACAGGAGCCTGAGCGTGCTGTCCTTCCACCATTGCAGGGGAGTAGCCCTGCCAATGTCAAAGGAGCTGGGAGCCACTTGAAGCAGCCCTCCAAACTGTGGGCCCTGCACGAATGGGTGCTGCCCATATGCTGCCATCGCAGGACAAACAGAAATGTCTCCCTTCCCAGATTTTCTCTCCCATTTAAGGCAAAGGCCATCTGCAGCTGGAAGAAGCAATTTTACTAAAACAGTTCTCATGGCTGTTCAGTCTGTGCTCTTACTCTTAGGTACACAACATGTTCCTTCAGTAGGTAGATTCAAAAGTTTTCAGGATTTGTTCCTTTTCTCTGATTTTCTTCTTAGGGGGCTCCTGCTATTTGTGTATTGGTTCTTCTTTATCTCACCTCATTCTCTTGAAGACTCCCAGCTCTTCTTTTCTTTACTTTTATTTTGTTAATGGATTTATTTTTTGCAGCACTCCTGATTGAACACAGGGTCTCATGCACACACCCACATCCCCCCAGAACTCATCTAGTTTTTATTTAATGAGTAGTTTCTCCTTTTGCCTTCTCTTTCTCCTAAGGCAACTTCTGTTGGGTTTATTGTCTGTTCCTCATAGTTTTGTCCTCTTTTCTAAAATGTTTTGTTCTTTTATTTTTTAATTATTTCTTGAGTTCTAAGTTTTTCCAATCTTGATCTGTTTTATATTTATATGTCTTATGTCATATATATTTATTTCATAAATATGTGCATGTGTGTATTTATACATATATCTTCATCCTCTCAAATGGAAGGAAGGGGTAGAGAATTAGAATGTCTTTTACTCTTTTTTAAAATAATCATTTCAGAGTCTTGGTCTGTTTTGTGGCACGTCTTTCAGGCGTGTTATCATTGTTTGTAGGTACGTCACACACACTTACTCTTCTTTTTCCCTAAAATGTTGTCTTGTGGCAGTGACTTCTTTTGCTTTGCTGCTGTTTATTGTTATGTGCAAATGGTTTCTGCTCATTCTTAAGGGGTGGAGGTCTTCAATATCATTTTTAACTTCACAGATCTGCTTCTGTAGTTTTCATGTGTGGTTAAAAATATGAAGATTTTCTTTCTGAAATTTCCTGGGGTTTCTCCCCTCCTCTGTTTTCATCTGACCCATCTCTTCTCATCATAATCATCTTGATGCCACTCCCAGCCAGTTGTCCTCAGAGTGGACTCTGTCCTGAAAGGAAGAGTTGGCTGTCAGTTTCAAGGTTCCTAGAGGTCAGATGGCCCAGGATTTTCATTCTAGAGACCATTTGTGGTTACCTCTGGTCCAGTGGGCAAGGTCTAGGTCATGCTCTGATTACACCTCTGTGTTTCTCAGCCAAAGCCTGGTGGCCATCTGGGGTTCTGCGCTCTCAGGTCCTCCTATGGTCCTGTTCCTTCCTTTGCTCCTGTAGCATGAACGCTGGGCCACCTCGGAGCTTGTGGTTGTTTCCCCTCACCCACTCACTGCTTTTTGAGGTTCATTCTTTAACACAATAATGTCATGGGAAGAGGGACAATGGCCAGAGGGATATTTGATCTTTTCAATGAGCCTGAGATCTTTGCAATCACTTATTGTAGGTGAGAAAATAGAGATTCAAAGACAGTGACCTGCCCAGGCCCGTCCCACTTGGTAAGCGACAGAGCCGGAATCTAAACTTTGGTGAGCGTGACTCCAAAGTGCCTCCTCCTTCTTCCGCAGCTTGGGGCCTCTGTTGTTTTCTGGTGTTAGTTCAGGGAGATTTGCTGTAGGTTTAAGCCCATGAAGGCTTTGACAAGATCCATGATGGCAACCACTAGTAATTGGCTAACGTGACACCCAGTCCCACCTCTTTCTGTCTTGTCTGCCTCCACTACCGAGGCAGGAAGAGGTAAACCTCACTTTTCCAGTCTCCCTTGCAGACAGCAGTGGCCCCTGGATACATCTCTGGTCCAGAGGAGGAAGTCTGTTCAGTGTTTCTGGGAAGTGTCTTGCTTTTCTGATTTAAAAAAAGGGCACCTGTGGCATGTGACTGGTCCTACATCCTTGCTCTTGGGTGTGCCTAGTTCCAGGACAGCCTTCTACAACCACAAGGAAAAGACCAAGAAAATCATAGTGAGACTGGCCCTGAACCAAGTTTTATGTTTGCAAAAATAGAACAACAACAATAAAATACCCATCTACTGGTTTAATCCACTATTAGTTAAGAGCATCCAGAATTGTTCCACAGTGAAATACTCACTTCTGATATCAAGAAGCACACTGTAGACTTTTGAAAACCTTGTTTACTCTCTGCAGTATGAAGTTGCTAACAGCATTATTTTAGCTGTGAAAAGTGATTAAATACAATTGGAACTAGAGTTCCATTTTTGATGGACCCACGTTTTCACTCCTGCAATGTTCAACTTCACATTGAACTTTATTCAGGGCCTACGAGCAGCTACTGTATTTGAGCAGTCAACATTCATGTGGTTTCTGTTTACTAAAGCATTAGCAGAAACATACTGAAATATATACCACCATATAATAGATCCCAGATGTGTTATTGCATTTCTTTAAAGAAAGAAAAAAAAGATATTTGAAAAATAAGGAACCAAAGAACATTCTCTGTCAATCTGATTCAGCATGGTGGTAACTCACAGCATGAAAACAAACCAACGTGGGGTTAAAATGTGCCGGGGTTAAGGTCTGACTCACTTTGTTTAAATTCAGCAAATGATCGTGAGTCTTCTTTGGGGCCAGATTACCTGCCTTTCTGGTTGTTATCCCAGTTTCAAAGACAATTAAAGGAAGGTTAATGAGCTGCAGGAGCTTCAGACCCAGAACAATGAAACTGGAATTCAATCTGGGCCTGTCTACTCTAAGGTCCACATGACTACTGCATGACTCTACTGCCTTAAATATTTCAGAAATACTTATGACATCTATAAACAGCAGAGAGGGAAAAAAAGTCTTTTTCAAAAGCAAAAGCCATTCCATGAAAGAAAGATTTCTGAATGGCTTCAGAAAGTGGACCAAGGACATTTGGTGAGTGGACATTATCAAAAGACACATTTTTAACTTTGCTATCATCTTCCAAAAAAATCTCTATTTCCTGCTGGCTATGCACTGGGCAGCATGGTAGCCATGTCTCTAGATGAAATAAAAACAAGATTCTTACCTATCTTGGAAGAAAAAAATAATAAAGACAATGGACCACATACACATAAAGGACTGTACAGCTATCTTTGTGCTAGTCCTTGGCTTGGGGCCGTGGTCTAAAAGGCCTATGGTTAATCTCTACATGATTTAGAAAGCAGGAGGACAGGTAAGTGTCTGACCAGAGCCATCTCATCAACTCATCCCTCAAACTCTGCCTTCATAGGTTGTGTGGATTTGTGAGTCCTAAGAACATGTCTAAGGAGCAACCACCATAGGAAGATCTCCTCAAGGCCCGCCGTGGTCTTCCACAGGGTGAGGGACAGGCTGGACACCTTTGGATTTGGGACACGAGAATTTTCCTTCCCATGGACTTCATTCCTGGGTCTAGGGAAGGACTTGTTGAGTTGGTAGAATAATGAACATTCAGGGGCTGTTATACATTTTGAAAAAAGAGATGAAATTCAGGCAAACTCTCCAGGTGCTGGGGGGTGAAAGTCCTTAATCATTCAATCCAGTCAATACCCTACCCACACTGGGAACCTGGGACAGCTCAATCCCAAAGAGAAGGAACCCTGCCCAGCTAGCTTCCTTACTCTACTCCCCGTGAAATAGTTAAAACCTCCCATAGCTCTCAAGGGGTTTGGAGTCTGTACATAAAATAAGGCATAAACAGAACGGGCTATAAATTACTTTCACCTGGATGGACTTGTGCCACAATATAGTTTAAAGTTTTAGTAGCACAGGGAAGAAGAAGAATGGGAGAAAAATCTCCATAATTCTAGTGAGGTGTAGGATTATTAACTATACTAAAAAAAGGACAGACTCTGGGAGGGTACTCAGGCCTGTGGGTTACTATATTCTGATTTTATCCCATTCTGGAAGCTGTCTGTGTGCATATTGCCCAACAGAAGGGTGAAGAAGAAGCAGTTGAGGTAAATCCCTTCTCTTTACTTAGAGAGAT